CAAATATGATTGAACCATACAATAATTACACATTCTGACATAATATAAATTTTGATTTAATGAACTTCTTCAAGAATAACAAAATTTTGGATACAAGTTAAAAAAATATCATTACATTCTTAGAAAAGAAAAAAAAATTATATACTATTCTATGCGAATGTTACACTTATTAATAACACAAAAAACACAATATATGAATCATTCTACCAGAATATACTATTATATATATATTTTTTCATTATATTGTATATTATTCTGGTAGACTAATCCATTCTTTTTGGAAGATTGATGGTCATTATTCATCTTCATCCCATACAATGTTCATCTTCAAAATTCTATTCTCACAGAATCAGAATTCAAGATTCCATTCCAGTAGAATGTTGTAAGTTTCATATGTACCATGTTTTGTTTTGATATCTCTCGTTTCGTACCTACAAAAATAATGGTATTCAACACTTGATCATTATAAACCAACAATCTAAGATAAAATTCAAGCATAAAGAAGCAAACCAAAATAAAGTCACGCAAAACCCCTTAAAGAGAAATGGATTCCTGATTCCATTCCAACAGAATTATAATTCACGATTCCATTCCAACCGAATTGGATTCGTGATTTCATACAATTCGTGAACAAATGCCAACAGAATTAGAATTCATGATTCCACTCACCCCTCTCTTCTACGTTTCCTCTTAATGAACCCCATGTTTCCTTTCATTCTACATGGATTCCAGTAAAGAAATACAAGAACAATCTTGTTCTTGCCCTTATGTACCCAGCAAACCAACAAAAAAAGAGGGCATTTCCACCATTCGTTCAAAAAAATATATATTTTTATACCAAAGAAAGATAAAATTGGATTTTAATTTTAAAACACATGCTTCGTAGTTCATAGTTCATAGTTCATACCCAAAGGAAAATTAAGCATACCCTGAATAACGGTGTTGAATAAAAATTGAAAAGGTTGGTTCAAACATTTTATCGACTAGTTGGTGTGCATCCTAAGAGCTACAATCAAATCTCATAACGAAGGCAGCAAAATATCCCCTATTCATTTCATCTTTACTGACCAAAATCACACAAACTTCAACAAAAATTCAACCACATCTTAGACAATAATCCACTGATGATTTAAGTAATTATAAGAAATAGAAAACGCACCAATTGCTGCTCAACAACAGCATAAATCAAGGCATCGTATGTTCGTCACTAGCTGAACACGCGTTATCATCTTTATCTCCAGAAAAATCGGATCGATGAGCGGACCCAATAATCGGATATTTTCAACTGCAGAGGAATCTTTTCCTAAACAAGCCTGGATCGTTTTCAGGGGGGAAACTGAATCGTCACATGGAGGAGAGACAGCCGGCGACGCAACAGCCGGCGGCAGAGACTATGACGGCCGTTAGTGTCACCGGTGGAGGCGCGATTGTGACGTTGAAGACCAAGACCTTCTGCGGTTCCTCCGATAATTTGAACTTCATCATTGCTCGCCGGTGATGTCCGTCGCAGACATCGACCTCTTCCGCCATGATCGCCCCATGGATCGGTGTTGTCCCGATGCTTCTTCCCTCTGCACCTCCTCACGATTTCCCAACTATCACAGAAGCTCCATCGTTTCTGTCTAGGGATTTAAAGGGTTAAATGTAAAAGATTTTGCCTAAATTAAAGGGTTTATGATTTGAATAATTAATTACCAAAATTAATTAAAAGCTAAGATTACAATTTTAGCCCTATCCAGGTTTTTAAAATGATTGATCCACATTTATGCATACAATAACACAATAATTAGTTTAAACAAATGAACCTAGCTCTCTCTCTCTCTCTATATATATATATATGTATATATATATATATATATATATATATATATATAATTATCAATTATATACAAAACTGTCGTCTTAAGTCACGCCTCACAAGCGACGTGATTCGCTACGACTCGAAAAAACTTAAGGTTTGACATTGCCACCAAGTCACGTGTTATGCTATTTAGAACCTTGGTATATACTCCTTATAAACATCAAAATATCATATTTGTCCAACTTAATTTTTAAAATTTCATATTTATCATTTATAAAATTTCAAAACATCGTATATTCCATTTTTAAACATTAAAATATCATATATGTCTTTCTTAAAAATCAAAATATCAATATTAATATAAAAAAATTCATCCATCTACAACATGACAATAATTAACAACAACAAAAACTAAGCAATCAAACAATTTATTACATGAAGATGGTTGAAGATGAAACGTTTCTAAGATATAAAAATGATTATAAACTATTAAAAACATTATAAAAAATATTTGGACAAATTTGATATTTTGAAGGTTTATAAAAAGTAAATATCTAATTTTTGCCAAATGTCATGTTCTCCTTTAGTTTGACACATGTCATTTTGTAGGATTTTTTGATTTTTTTTCTTTTTCCAGTTGGCATTTTCTTGTGCTTTCAATTTTCTTAAATTTAAAAGTAAATTCCACATTTTATGTGGGTTTATTTATGTTATGTGGAACCATTAAATTAAATTTCAATAACCATAAAAAAACCGTTGTACAACCACAAATTAGGCAATAATCAATTTTTTCATAATTTAATATTTACACATATCACAATTTTCACTTATACAATAACTTCTTCAAAACAAAAATATTATTGAATACAATTATAAACAATGAAAATAGTTTCATAATCTTTTATTTATTAGTATATATATATTGACAAACTTGCTTCATTCATTATATCCGTAATATTTATGTAAAAGTATTACTTTTAAAAAATATTTAATGCCTATAACTTTATATTCAATCTTTTTTTAATAAACTCGTGTAATACACGAGTCTCACATCTAAATATATTAAAAGATTAAACTAGACAAATATGATATTTTAAGGTTTAAAACTAACATATATAAAATTCTCCAAAGAAAATATGGAAATAAATAAATATAAGTAGGACAAATGATTTTATCGTAGGAGTCTTTAAACAATAAACAGGGACTGGAGGTGAATGAACCCATAGATAAGGGGTCAGTAGTGTCAATACGAACATTTACAAAGCACGTAGAGGGGAAGAAAAGTTTTAAGCGAAGAAAAAGGTTCCAAAGTCAAGAACCAGTCAATGTCGATTTATTTCTTTATTTCTTTATGTTTTTCACCTAAAAATCGCACCCAACTCCAAATTTAAACTCTATTATATTCCTTACTGATATATCTATGCTTATGTTGAATGATCAGTTGAATGTTAAGAAAAGCTAGTGTTTAATGGTTTCTACCCACTTCTATTTTTTGTTGTAGAATCAGTTGAAACAGATTCAAATGGAAAAGAAAATCAATTATTCGATTCCGGGATGTCTTTATTCGAATCAGTTTTACTTTTTCATTTGTATCGGTTGTTTAGTTTTCGGTTGTTGTTCATATGAAACTAATGCTGTTCCCTATGACTCCTTTACTATCTCAAGCTTTACTTATGGTAGAACTGTGCTCAGACCTTACGATTGGCGTTATATCAGAGGTAAACTTTATCAATTCATTGGAGAATCTTATGTTAAATCGTTGATCATTTATACGATTAATCAAGCTATCTTTCTTCAATTTTATTGTGTAAGGTAAAATTTGGGATTGTTTAAGGGGAAAAAGTTCAATTTTGGGCGTTTTGCATTTGGATCATCACTTAAATGATGATTAACATATGGGTTGATTAGCTTTGATGAAAATTATAATCTTTGCAATTAATTAAGCTCGGATTCTTGATTTAATGATAATTTACATGGCGGGTCAAAGTCAAACTTGATATTTTCAAGTTGAAAGATTAGATTGCGTCCATTTTGCCCTTAGATCCGTGCGTATTGACAAGATTAAGATATCTTTATCTACATCGTTAACAAGGAACTAATCATTATTTTGAATTAATTTTAATTGTATAAAACATAGATGGTGAGCTGTTTATGTTTGGGTTGAAATTTTTTCTTGATTAAAAAGATTAGATATTGTCTGATGGTATATAACTATATATAAGGTTATAATATTTTGCATTGATTGTCATTGTCAGAGTTATTTGATGCACATTATATAAGTATTCATCCTAATGCAACTAGTTTGTGATAAAAAGGATTGTTTTTTATGTTGATTTGGTCATGACATTTAGGTGATTATAGTCCATTATTGGATTTGTTTTCAGATTTTTGTCTCACGTTCCTTTATATTACCCTACTTTTAAACATGAGAGAAAAACGAAGAATTGAAGAACAAGATTAATAATTTAGTATTTAAACTAATTTATCCTTGTGTTTGTGATTGCAGTTGATTTACCAACGTGGTTTTCTTCAATGACTCTATCTTTAGAGTCTGATGTAAACCTTGTAAGTAGGAAACTAAAACTTTTATCAGTAAAATGTTGTTTTTTGTTTAATGTTTTAAACGCTTTGCTTTTCTTATCTCAGCCCACAAAATGATATTGTTAAATGATGAAAACAAATAGGACATGAATAATATTTAGATCCATGTGCATTGCTTTCTTTTTGGATTTCTTGATTAACATGGTTTTGTATGAGTTGCAGGATAAAAAAAGCATTATGATAACAGATAAAAGTAATCTACCAATGATTTGTGCACGTGAAGGAAGTCCTCCTTTGCCTGATTCATATAATACTTCTTTAATTGGTTTAGGTACAACATTAAGCTCTTAATGGTTGTTTCCTTTTTACTAATACTAAAATATAGAAAGAACGACTTAATAAAGGAAGTCAAAGAAAAAAAAAGCTTTCCTCATTAAGTGATGAAGCAAGATTTTTTCTTATTTATTCATTGCTTCAGAGTTGGACCCCATTTTAAATGGATCTTTGGCAATAGAAGGTCTTCAGTTTGCTGAGAAATGTTATCCAATGCAGAAAAAAGTTATGATAAGACTAACAAATGAGCAGGTTGACTTTTTCTTTCTGTATTTTCACAATTCACATTTGACTTTTTCTATAGTTTTGATGATGAAAATTATGATTATTTTTGTGTTTCTTGCATGTATATGAACACGATATTGTTATTCAGATTTCTCCTGGAGTATGGTACTTTGGTTTGTTTAATGGCATTGGATCCACAAGGACTCAATCAAAGATGGTAAACAAAATTATCTCCAATACTTGTAGTCATTATTCTTTGACTTTGACCTTCATTTATTTCTATTACAACACTGACATCATACTTTGAAAAATCTACCCGATTATAGCAATGAAAATTGCTTTGTATTTTGATGACATTGCTGTAATTGGGTAGATTTTTTACACCATAATGTCGTAAGAGGAAGAAATTAAAGCAGGATGTCATAATAAACAAATCAAATGCATTTAATCCTTGTTTTTAACATTAGAAGTACCCAATCTTATTTCTTTTCAATTTTCTAACAATTTATGCAACTGATTTGATAAAATTATGCATTAATTGGTAGCGAAATGAAACATTGTTTTCTAAATTGTTACAAAAAGTGTAACTTGGTTGTGTGGATAATAAGTGTTTTACCCGAAAAAAGATTACTTTTTACCCTTGTATCTTAAAAAATAGACTATGAATAATTTCCAAAAGAATAATATGTTTTTTATGTGAAATACAGATAAATCGAGGTTCAGGGTATTCTTTTACTGGAAATGTGAGTGTTGAAGGTTGTGTGAGTCCATCCATCTCAGGGCAATTCTGCAATCAAACGGTTGACCATCTTTCATGTGTTGACCAAAACTCAACACAAGGAATCATCACTTCTTGTAAAAACGATTTTGAGCATTCTTGCATTCATTCAAATGAATCAAAACTCTACTCTTTGGACTTATTGGGAATTTCAGAAGAAATCATGATATCATTGACAAGTAATAATAGTAGTAGTAGTAGTAATACCACATTGATGTGCTATGCTCGACATGGTGCCATACCATCATCATCTACACATGATTATTCGGGTAATGTCAGTAATGCCCCTTTGGTTATACGATCGCCTAAAGTTGGTCGATGGTATTTTACCATTCTACCCCTCAACTTCTCAAATGAAGCCACAAAGTTTTGCTATTCATTGGAATGGAAATTGCTTCGGTGCCCTATAGATAAGGCTGGATTGAATTGTACATGGGAAAGATACACACTTCAGGTTGTTTAACATCTCCCTTAATCCTAATTATGATGGGCCAAATGCAAGAAATAGAAACATACTTTCTTTTATCTGTGTATTATAGAATCCTAATAAAAATCTATTCAATTATAGTAAGTGAAAATTGTTTCATACTTGGATGACATTGATATAAACGGGTAGATTTGGATTTTTCAAAACAATGAAAGTACATTGCTATTTCTTGCATTTCCTTTATGCTAGGAGAAATGAAGGTGGGACCCACATCTAATTTCTTCAGCCACTTGCTCTTTTTAATTTGATTCTTACAGAAAATGCATGGAATATGCAGACAATTCTTAGGAAGAATCCTTCTGTACCTTTCGAATCATATTATTTACCAGTGAGTGATAAAATCTCTTCGAATTCTGCTAATTTCCTTCTTGAGCCTCTCCTAAGCAACTCATCACAAGGTCAAAGTCAAAGTCAAAGTCAACATATTGCTTGGACTTATTTCCTAGTAGACATCCCTTCAGGGGCAGCTGGAGGAAGTATTCACATTCGATTGAATTCGGATACAAAAATAAATCATGAACTATATGCATCATATGGTGGACTACCATTTGAAGATAAATGGGATTATTTTTATGCGAATTCAAGTAGCAATAGTAATGGTTCCATGTTCTTTAAGTTGTATGATTCGGGTGAGAAGACAATTAGTTTTTATATCGTGTATGTTAGAGGAGGAACATGGAGTTTTGGTATAAAACATTTGACTTCTTCCTCAAAAAGTCAAAGTCAAAGTCAAACTACCATGTCTATTTCGATTGAAAGATGCCCGAGAAGATGCTCGTCTCATGGAACATGTCAAAATGTTGTGGAAATGAGTGGTTTGTCTCTATACAGGTATTTAAATATTAGGGTAAAGTTCGGTTTTTGAAGAAGATCAACTATCACATATATTCTAAATTCTTGTTACATTTTTATTTCAGCTATTGCTCATGTGATCGTGACCATGGAGGCTTTGATTGCAGTGTTGAAATTGTCTCACATCAAGGTAAAATTATTTCCACCTTCTTACTCAAATGAAAAATAACATCTAAGAATTCTCATCTCTCACAATCATGTAAATTAAATCATTTGAAAAGTATATTGGGACATGATGACACACTTTGAAAAGTAAAAGGAAAAAGAAATGAGGGCAATTTTAATGGAAAAACTTCAATTTCCTAACTTTCTCTATTAAGGGGGTGTGTGGGATTGCTTATTTAAAACATCTTTTTTTTAGAAGTGCTTATTAGCTTATGTGGTATCAAAACGGAGTTTAAGAAAAAGTGTTTGAATTAGCTTATGCATTTTGCTAAAATGCAATAAGCTGATAAGTTGTTTTTTAGAGTTTGATAAATTGTGCTCGTATATGTAAATTGACCAAAAAAGAAAGAGGTAAAAGGGTAAATTAGCATGCATGCCATTGGTATGAAAAAAAGAAAACGAGACTACGATAAACAATGATTTATAATTGAATTGATTATAGTTCTTAGATAAACAATCATTTGTTATTCAACATCAAGGGTAAAATGGTCATTCATGCACATTCAGACAAATGAATCTGTCCAAATAAAAAGTCAATTACTCAAGATAGAGAACATTTATCCACTCTTGTAGGGCATATATGGCAATCAATTTCCCTAATTGCATCAAATGCTGCATTTGTATTTCCGGCTTATTGGGCGCTTCGACAAGGGGTAACATAAATTCTTTCTTGGGAAATCCACAACATAAAATTACATATTTGCCCATCATCATATTCTAATTCTTGTAGGCATTTGCCGAGTGGGTGTTATACACATGTAGTGGGATTTCTAGTGGATTATATCATGCATGTGATGTTGGCACCTGGTGTGCTTTATCTTACAAAGTCTTACAGGTAACAACTCTTATCTTTTCCCATTTCATTACTTTTAAACATGACCTATAAAGGTCAAAATCGTAATTTTTGTGAGTACACCAACTAAAAAAATCTATTTTTCTTTGTTGTTAATTGTTATGCAGTTCATGGACTTTTGGCTTTCATTCATGGCTGTGGTAGGAACTTTTGTATATGTAACAGATATTGATGAAGGATCAAAGAGGACAATTCATACAGTTGTTGCCATTGTTACTGCTCTTATGGCTATGAATGGACCAACAAGGTAATCTTTCTTTATGGGTTGTACCTTGTGCATAAAAATGTGTAACTTGATAACATCTGTTGTAAATGATTTTGCAGTTCCTCCAACATTGTTCTTGTTATAGCCATTGGAGCAACGGGTCTTCTTGTTGGCCTTTTAATCGAGTTCTTTACACATTATAGGCGATTTCCATTTTCAGCAGAACTTTTCCTTAATATGCTTCATAGGTGAGGTCCTCTGTTGACTTCTCGGGTCAAAGTCAAAACTAGTAGATTTCAAATTCGAAATTGATATCGATTTTGTTACCAAAAGATCTTCACTTTTGGTGTAGTTGATCAGATTTTGGTTAAAGCTTAAAGATTTTGTATAAATTTGAAGTTTAAAATTATCAGGTTTGACTTTTCAGGTGGCAAACAGTCAAAGAATGGTGTAGAAATCTGATAAAGACGATTCTTAAACGTTTTCAGTGGTTCTTTGTGATTGCTGGATTTGCTGCATTGGCAATGGCTGCAATAAGTTGGAGCTTGGAATCAACCAATAGTTATTGGTTTTGGCATAGGTGAGTTTGTGAAAAGTCCAATCTACCCCTCCAGTGTTTTATTTATTCATTGATGATTTAATCTGACAAAATTGTGTTGCAGCATGTGGCATGTGTCAATATACATATCTTCTTTCTTCTTTCTATGCTCCAAAGTGAAAGCAATGAATTGTGCAAATGGAGAGCCTGAAAACAGGAACTATGAGTTGACTCGACAAGACTCGCTTTCGGGAAGTCAAGACCTAGGGGAAAATGGGCGAGTTAGATAGGTATATTAAATATTATTATTATTATTATTATTATTATTATTTTTGTTTATTCTTGTTATCTTTTGTTGTGATGGTTTTGTAAGAGGCAAGCTAGAAATTTAGGTGAAAGGGTTGATAGAATTCTTGGATAGAAGGTGTAAATGTGAAGGGGTCTTTTAGTGTATTCTGAACCTTTTATTTTTATTATAAAAACTTTGGTTAAATTCTTCTGTTTGTAAAATGTTTTGAAAGGAATTAAATCTTTCATGGGAGCTGGATTTTGGAAGCTTTAAAATATCAAGAGATGGAAATCTGTCATGATTGAAAATGAAATGGAATTGAAGCTTATTCTAATGTATGTATGTTTTTGTTTGGGTTGTAAATCTGTAAAAAAAAAAAAAAAAAAAAAGGGGGGGGGGGGGGGGGGATGTAGCCATGTAAACAATAATTAATGATAGAATTCTCGTTTTTATATATTCTGTTCGTGATTTTCTTTAAATACTTGTAGAAAATAAAAATACTTAAATTACCTTTTCATGAAATTTGTGTTCATGGATCCTTTTTAAAACTATTTTTATGTTTTTTGTTTTTTTTAACGTGCATTAAAAAACTAGCAAGACGCTAGACAAAACAACGTGCATACATTATAAGGAACAATACACTAATCAAACAAACTAATGGAATTAAAAGATCTATGCTTAATCTAATTACATGAAACTAATTGAATATCATTCGCCAATTTTAAGGGAGAGCATCTCTTATTGTTGAACATCAAAGAATTATGCGCCTTCCAGATTAACAACATCATAAAGTACATGAGGGCAAGTTTGAGTTTTTTTTTCTTCTTCTTCTTACCAAAACTTGAGGCTTCCAACAAGTAAGCAAATCCATTCTATCCCCAGGAATCGAAGCTAACATCCCACTCTAGGTGATAAACCAACTCCAGATTTGTGTTGAAAAGCTGCACTTAAAGAAAGTGTGATCCACCTCCTCATCATTCATGTGACAGAACGGACAAATCACCAACTCTAAATTAACACCTCCATTAACAAGGATTTTGGCCACAGAAACCTTATTGGAAATCAGACGCCAAACAAAACAATTAACTTTAATCAGAACCCAACTAACTCATTTAAAGCATCGAACTAAACAATCATCGTCACTCTTATCAGTCATCAGAAGCCTCAAGGAACGAGCTGTAAAAATCCCAAAACCCTCGACCTTCTAGCTCCATGAATTAGAGGTCTTTGACAGCGCCGGACCACCACTGTCGCATTCAAACAGTTCAATTCTCCAGTCACTTTTCCCCTTCTAAGTTGTCTCCTCCAACATCCCTGAAAATCAGTCATAGAATCACCTTTTACTCTACCAACAACCAAATAATTTTTGTTCTCTTCAATTTTGTACAATAACGGGAATGCACCCTTGAGCATAAAATCTCCAAGTCATTTATCCTTCTAAAAGAGAGTGTGGTTTCCAGATCCCATTTCCTTGCAGAAAAGATCTTCTAACAAAATATTCCACTCAAGTTCCCATTTTATTTGAAAAATAGATAACCAAGTCATCACGATACCACACTTAGCAAAAGGCTTTTCATCAACACATAAAATGTCATGTAAAGCTTTAATACAAGAGGCCCAAAAGAAATTATTTTGAATTTTTAATCTCCACCACCATTTAGCAAGAAGAACAATGTTTAGAAATCTAAGACTCCCCACTCTCCAAGACCTCCTAGTATCGGTACCATATCCCAAGCAATCCAAAACAAATTATATGTACGAATAAACATACATATACCCACATACGACATGTATTAAGCAATAAATTACACAATTTAATAGTGTGAAACATAAGAAACCAACATATTACATTATTAATAACAGGATTTAGAAATTGCATAAACAAGGAGGCTTCAAATTGAATCACACGAGTTTGTGGGGAAAAGTTGAGTTTCATAGCTTGTAATTTGTTAAATTCCAATAGAGTTGCTTTTTTATTTTATTTTTTTTAGGAACAAAACCACCTCCATATATTATTGGCAAAAGCACATCCGTAAGAAAACTTTATCAACCATATCCTCTTCCAAACTACAAATGGACACAATTTGGAGAATATCAATGCCTCTCATTATCATATTCGAAGCAAGTGGAATTCTATAGACCTCCAAAAGTAACAAACCACTTTAGGGAACCCATTTTATCCATTTAAATCCAGACCCATCGGTTGGAGATGCTTCGAAACCTTAATTCTATGATTTTAGCATTGTAAATTTATCCTCTATACTCAGGTTTCATTAATATACCAACTTGTACCTTCCAACATACCAATAATTTTTTTCAAAGGCTTTAAGAGCAAAATGATAAGGGAAGCCTTACTTAGCATCTAATTAACAAGTGTTCAACTTTGCATGAAACATATCTACAATCGGGGTCCAATGTTGCACAAGTTGCATATAAATGAAATTAGGGTTGAATTCCATTATGAACTGCGACCAACCAACCTCTAGAAGAAATGATGAAGTGATATTAAATTCCAGTTAATTTCTACCGTTTCCTAAAAAATCCGCTGGACCACACGACCTGACCCCACAAGGTTTTATGATAAAGTTATAGTTGCTTTTTCCAAATGTTGAAATGGCAAAGCGAAAATTGGGTATAGAGATCAAAGATTAAACACGTCTTTCATGCATTTATATTATTTTAGAAAGGGCAATATATTAAATAGAAAAAAAAAACCCAGCAAGCGACAACTAAACATTAAAATAAGAAGAAAAAAGAAACTAGAATTCAATATAATATACAAGTTTTAACGAAACATACACACATGTACAAAACGCCTGGCTCTAAACGCAACCCCCGAAGCAAATGTTTTTTTTTTTTCCATTTGTTGAAAGTGGAAAACACCAATTCAAAGAAAAAGACAACTTCATAGCAAGCATCTTTCCAATTATGAGCTTACTTCTATTTTGTTCACATCAAATTTTTTTCACCTCTATAAAAAATAAGAAATAACAAAATTACACAAATTTGGAATTTTCAAATCAAACTAACAGTTGTTTGTATTCCTTCCGAATGTTCCACAAAACCTCAGCACATCTCCTCATTGTCGGCCTGTTTCTTCGATGAGCAGCAACACATTGTAAAGCCAGTTCCAGAATCTTGTCAAGAGCCACACCATTTGCATCCGACTTTTCTAATCTTGGATCCAATACTGAAATAGCAACACCATCCGCATACCTCTTCATGGCCTAAGGAAAAGGGTATATTAGTCATTTACCAACATGAAAAAGGGTGTATTAGTCTTTTTGAGTACATAGTACATATATATACCCATCGTGCTGTGATGCGTTGATCAAGTTCCTGTTTGGGTTCAATTGGCCTCCGACCTGTAACGAGCTCAACCAGCAATATACCGAATGAATAAACATCACTCTTCTCTGTGAGTTGATATGTTCTGAGGTATTCAGGATCTAAGTAGCCAGCTGTCCCTTTAACCTGAGTCGATACATGTGTCTGACCTGATTCAGCATCCGCTGCTAGCCTTGCAAAACCAAAGTCGGCAACTTTGGCTCGCAGTTTTTCAGTCAGAAGTATATTTGAAGACTTTATATCCCTGTGAATTATAGGATGATCTGCATCCATACGCTTCGTTTATTCAATTTAAAAATAAAACATACCACTTTAATAATGGGGAAAAAGAAGAAGAAGAAACCTGTATAAGTGTGGAGGTAAGTAATGGCGTGTGCTACGTCTATAGCGATATCCAAACGAGAGTCGAGACTAAGAACATTGCCATTGAAACCTGAAATTGTTAGATAGCTGAGTTAATTGCAATGATCAACAATCTGTTAACTGAAATTTGACTTAGGAGGAAGAAATAGCTGACATTCTAAGTGTTCACGAAGCGTCCCATTAGGAACGTATTCCACAACAACGATTCTTTCATCTTCATGCTCTAAGTATCCGTAACATTTCACCAGATTCAAATGCTCCACCTTTGATAACGCTTGAATTTCACTCTGGAACTCGCCTCCTAGATTCTTATCGTACATGCTCTGTACAAAATAAACACCAAAAATCTGAGTAAACCAGAGATGTGTAATTAATTTGATAGCTACAAACAACTAATTATATAACTGTATGCCTGAAAATTAAGGGGATGAATGATGAGGTGTGACCTTTTTGGCACGTTTAACGGCAACGAGGGTTCCATCTGGAAGTTGACCTTTATATACAGTACCGAATCCGCCTTGTCCAACTTTTAGAGTCGGTGAGAAGTTCTTTGTTGCCTTATGGATGTCCGCCATACTGAACTTTACACTTCCGGGCTCTTTCGAGTGTGGTGAATCATTCCGAACTGTATTGTAGATACTACGATGTCGCTTCTTTCCTTCGGTTGAATCTGAAGCCCCTGAAACATCTATCAAATCAAACAAGCTACAATTAGCTCTGTAGATGTTGAAATCAAACAATTTGCATAGCAATTACGTTTGCTAGGATTTTGACTTTTCTAAGCAAATGCTGGCTTTCCATGGTTGTACCCTTGCATTTTTCAAGCGAAATTTGACAGAGTCATCCATTCAATCTCTTTACTTTCAGCGATAATGTTTTGATTTAAGAAATTGTCATGAGCGACGACGAATGACTAAACCGCGTCGTACAGCTTTTATTACAGGAATTACAAGTGATCATAACATAACGACTGATCAGATCCCGTCGTTTCGATGCTCAAAAAATGATTTACCTAAATTATCCATTTATACCCGTGCTTCGTGTTCAACATAAGAAGTAGAAAATTATTACTATGATTGATCACCTGATGTTGAACTGAATGCATCCGAACCACCAAACGCAGAGGAGCTATGTCTGCTATGATGAGGTGTCTCCTCCTCCGGTGGTGTAAAACACGCTACAAAAACTCCGGCGACGGATCTCGCTGCAGTTCTAACTCGGTTCCGGCTCGATGAGGATCTGGATGAGGTGGTAGAATAGGAGCTTGCGGACGGGGAAGGAGGATAATTAACACGTTCACGTGTACGCATGCCGGAGCTATCTTTCCGGCTACCGTACATGGTCAGAAAGATAAAGAGAAAGAGAAAGAGCTGTGGCGGGGAGGTGTGATTACGTATAAACTAGTTGGAAGACTTTGATTTTTATGTAATAGTGGGTGCGACTAACGTGCGCTTGGGTAAACGCTGACATATAAGGATCCAGCTGGAGATACGCCCCCTCTCATTTATTGCATACCAACAACTTCAATCTATTCATTTTATGGACAAATATATTAATGTTTGTCACTTTGTTGGATTAAAATCAAACAAAATATTTAAAAAGGTAACGAAGTTTTAAAAATATATGAAAAAAACTATTGTTTTTTTAGTATACAAAATACTATTTTACCGGTTATTGTAGGTTACCCGGTTTCCAAATGTTTAAAAAATACCATTGTTTTTTTAGTACAAAAAATATCATTAATGTTACTATTTGTACACAGAATACCAACAAAGTACACATGTGTTCAACTAAAACATTGTGCTAACCAAGTACTTCAGGTAAACGAAAAAATGACTTAAAAGTGTAACGAAGTTTCCAAAATGTTTAAAAAATATCACACGTTTTGTTAACTGTGTTGTTGTCGGATTATGTAGAACACAATCACCGGAGATCATGAACCGTCATATCAGTTCACAACAATTGTGCAAATCTCTTTCATTCCTTCACTCGATCGTTCTTGTGATAACAAGAGAAGTAAGTGGGTAATAACATTAGTTAAACATTCTTGCTTCCCGATCACATTATATGCCTCTTTTTTTTTAGAAACAGCAAATATTTTATTAAAAGAGGGCAACGCCCAATAGCAAGGAGCTACAAAGGCAATAAAGCAAAAGAAACGAGAACAAAAACAAAGAAAATTAAGAAACAAGATGAGTAAAATGTGAAATACACCATTCCGCCCAGCTCCCACACGAAACATTTCCTCTATGTCTGCACCAATTGTAGACGAGAGAGATTATATTGTCCGCCAATTTAGTGGGATTCACCTCGATACCCTTGAAAACCTTATCATTCCTTGATATCCAAATCAGACAGTATAAAATAGAGATTAGAATATCCTTTTTCTTTGCACAATTCCCCCAAGTAGCAGCAAAATCAATGAACTCGTTCATACCCATGAAAGCCCTGTCTCCAATTCCACACCATTTAAATGTCCATTGTTGTACCTCTCTAGCATAGTCACAGTTGACTAGCAAGTGATCAACCGATTATGATTCCGAATTACACATTGGGCATCTCGAATTAACAGTAGGTATACCCCTCGAAGCCAAGTTTTGCGCCACCGGAATCCCGTTTAATGCTGCACGCCAAACAAAACAGCGCACCTTCAAAGGTACTGTTTTTGTCCACCCAATTGACTTTCCCTTGTATACAATTAGTTTTGACTCCAATAATTTTCTCATCCTATTTACAGTGAATTCCCCATTAGGATTGAGGAGGAAGCTAAATCCAAAGTTGAATTTTTTCACGGCATTCAAGTTTCCAATATCCGTGTATAACTGCAACAGTTCGTTTAATTCGACCGACCCTGATGGTTCAAATCTCCACATCCACGAGAAACCATTCGTGGAAAGTCTATCACTCACTGAACAACATTTGACTGTCTCCAGCGCATATAAGTTAGGGAATTTGGTATCGAAAGGAGTTTACTACACCAAGGATCTTTCCAGAACATTATTTTAACATCAAACCCCGGGATGAGTACGAAAATGTCAGTCTAATCTATGTGAAGCGAATTAATATCTCTAACTGCCTTATAAATATTGCACCAGACTCCGTTTGATGATTTCCTTGCTATATAAGAGGAAGGTTTCTTGACTAAGTTCTGAATGCTTACAATAACACTTCTCCATAGACCACTCTTTTCATTCATGAGTCTCCACCACCATTTAAATAGTAATGTAGTGTTCTGTGCAATAATTGATCCCACGCCCAAACCTCATTCGGATTTAGGGGCAGTGAATTTTCTCCATTCTACCCAGTGAATTTTTCTTTTCAGTTCACTACCGCCCCATAGAAATATACGCCTTATTTTTTCAATTTGATCGATGGTCCCCAATGGAGCTTTAAACAGTGACATATAGAACGTGGGAATAATATCTAGAATATACTTGCTGAGGGTGAGACGGCCTCCAAAAGATAGGGAAATGGCTTTCCAACTACAGAGCTTGGAAGATAATTTATTCAGAATCGGCTTCCAGTTTTTCTTAAGTGCCACGTTAGCACCAACCGGTACTCCCAAGTAATTAAATGGAAATTCACCATGTCGACATCCAAGTGCTTGAGCAGTGCTGGACAAATTTTCTTTATCAATTCCCACGCCAAATAAGCATGACTTAAGAAAGTTGACTTTCAACCCCGAAGAAATATGAAAGCACTTCAGAATCCGTGATAGATTTTTAAGGTTCTCAAAATCCCATTCATCCGCAAATATTACATCATCAGCATACAATAGATGTGAAATTACAGGACCGTCCCCGGGTAGTTTAATCCCACGGACAATTAGGTTTTTGCAAGCACTTTTCACCGCAATATTTAGCCCTTCCATAGCCAATATAAAAAGAAATGGCGACAATGGATCCCCTTGTCTCACCCCCTTGGGTATTGGAAATTCTTCTGTGGGAGACCCATTAACAAGAACTGATGCTTTTGCTGAAGATAAGCAACTAAAGATCCATCTTCTCCATTTACACCCGAAGTTCATTTGTTCCATGACTGAATCTAAAAAACCCCAGTTAATGGAATCAAAGGGCTTTTCAAAATCAATCTTGAACAAGAACATTTTTTTTTCTTTTTATGTTTTTCCCAAGATATGATTTCATTTATTATTAGAGGACCATCCAGAATGTGCCTGCCTTGAATATATGCCGACTGAGTCTCATCAACCACCTCCTCGATTACCTTCTTCAATCTAACAGCAAGAAGTTTTGCAATCACCTTGTATATACAGCCAATAAGATTGATAGGCCGATAATCACAGAGATTTAATGGATCAGGTATCTTAGGAATTAGTGTGATATTTGAAGAATTGCATCCAGGTGCAAGATTGCCGTTGAGTTCAAAGTGCTTAACAAAATTTGTTATGTCACCACCAATGGTATCCTAATGGTTTTTTAGGATTTTGAAAGAGTATCCATCCGGGCCAGGAGCCTTTTCTCTTCCACATTGCCAAACAGCCGATTTTATCTCCTGGATCGTGAACTCAGATTCCAAGAGGCTTGATTGACCTGCAGATAGTTTCTTAAACTTGCTATTGATGAATTTTGGTCTATCAGGCCATCTCTCGCAGAATTTGTCTGTAAAGAAATTCAAGATTTCCATTTTCACCGCCCCAGGGTCTGAGTTCCAGACACCATTAATAATTAGACCATGGATTTTGTTCTTCCGATTTTTGTGCTTGAGACATCCATGGAAGAATCGGGAGTTTTCATCCCCATTTTTAACCCATTTAATTATTGCCTTCTGCTGAAGATCAAGCTTTATTAACTGCTCAATCTCCAGAATCTTGTGTAAGTCTTCCTGTCTTTCCCTTCTTTCCACTTCAGACAGTACACGAGATTCCGCAATAAAGTCTAGTGATTCCACCTTTTTTTAAGATGAACTAGAGTCTCTTGCTCACTGTGAGATTTCAACCTGCTCCAATCACGAATGGCATTTTTGAAATGTTTAAGTTTGGCGGCCAAAATCCTATCAGCGATACCAAAACCCCTAAAGGAATCCCAGGAACTTTTGAATAACACGTTAAAGTCTTCTAATTGTAACCACGAATTGAAAATCCGAAATGGCGGTGGCCCATAATCACAGTTGGAAGGCCTCAGAATAATAGCAACATGGTCAGAGTACTCACGAGCAAGAGCAGTGACCGAAGTGAACGGTTGTAAATTAACAAGTTTGAACATACAAGGAAGCGATCGATCTTACTCAATTTGTGTCCTTCTTCCCTCGGAAATGTGAATTTGGATCCCCCCATATGGAACTCATGTAATCCTTCATCCATGATGAATTTATTGAAATCCGCCGCCGTCACTTTACAAAAGACAAAGTTGAATCTCTCATGAGCAAATCTTACAACATTGAAGTCTCCAAGAAAGATCCAAGTGTTTGTCGGGTGTGATTTTTTAACAGTCGAAAGCTCCGCCCATAACGCCCTCTTCTCTGCAGTAGATTGAGGTCCATAAACATTTACCACCGCAGTTACACCTGTCACCCCTTCCAATTTCCCATGATAACTATATAGTTTTTTGCTTTAATACAATTCACTTTTGCGAAGATATGGGGATCCCATATACAAAATAGGCCCCCTGATCTACCTGTGGGATTTACAGCCTCATAAGCAAAATTAGACGAGCCCCAACAGCCAACAAAATCAATAGTGTTATAATCTGTGACTCTTGACTCTTGTATTCCAATGAAATCAATATTGTATTTGTTTTTTATTTTCTTATCCAATCAACCTTGTGGGATTCACCCACCCCCTTATATTTAGACTTAGGGCATTCATTGTTGACGACCTGATCCACCTTCACCCTCACACGCTTTGGATGAGATTCCCTCCGGAATATCCATATTGTCTTCATTAATAAGGAAACCCACCCTATTGCCGATCTGGATAAGTTTTCCCGTCTCATTAGAAGATGAGCAATCATCATTAACCCCATTAGAGGCTTGCGATCTAGTGGGGGCATTTAGATCAATGAAAGGTACCGATGATTGCTGATGAGCGGGAGGGAAAGCAGGTAGAGATGCTGGTAGGGGTACTGAGAGGGGCTGCTCAAGAAATTCAGTTGCGAGACATCGAGCTGGAAGTGAGCTCAAGAATTCAGGTTTGAGGCATATAATGTGGTGTTGTCAAATCTAATAATGGATTAAGCTCAATTAAAAAATATTAAAACCCAAATTAACTTCAGAAGGAACGAGGGAGTCGAACAGTCGCATGAAAAATGTCGGGGAATGGGTGGAGGTTCGCCGGAGAAAACCTCAGTCTACCACAAATATCACTACGTTCTATGTGTCCAACATTCAACAAGATACCACAGTGAACATGCTTAGTGAGGCGTTTCGGAAATACGACAAGATTGTTGATATTTACATCCCGGGGAGAAAAGATAGAGCGGGCTCCTACTTTACGTTCGTAAAATACAGTGGGATCAAGGAATCTCAGGCGATGTTGAATTCGATGAACCAGGTTAGATGCAGACAATGTATCCTAAAGGTGAATGTTGCTAAATACGAGAAGAGATACAATCAGTACAAACAGGCCTACAGACCTCATCGTGGTCATCACGTACAATCATCAACAATCCCAGGGGTTTGGTCAAAGATATCGGAAGGTAAATCGTTTGCAGAGGCTGTCACTGGCAGGAAGGAGGGAAAATTGGTTCCTTCGGTATCTTTAAATAGGATTTTGGCTATGAAACCCGAAGCGGTACTTACAGGGGAAGTTATTAGCTTTCATCTACTCAACAATCTCCCGGAGTTGCTAAAAAAAGATGGAATCTCACCAAGGGAGGTATTTTATGTCGGTGGCTTAAAGATTATATTAAGGTTTTCATTGCACGAAGATGCGTCCGGTTATCTTATGAATGAGCAAGCATGGAGTAAATGGTTCAAGTGGCTCAACGCCGGCTTTGCTGAGGACGTGCCATTTGAAAGAATGGCATGGATAAAAATTGTTGGTCTTCCCATTCAACTGAGATCTGAAGAGAATGTGAACTTGATTGCAGGAAAAATTGGCAAGGTCATTGAGGTCGATAATTGTCAAAATTGGCATGGTATCAATTTATCATCCCCTCATGCAAGAATATTAACCGGATCAAAAACCTTAATCAACTTAGAAATCAATTGTAATTTTCTCGGTACGATCTTCACGGTGGGTGTGATTGAAACTAAATACATTTAGTAGCCATGCCTCAAACCTAAAACATATATACGTTATATAGATGCACATATTATATACATCAAAGTTAGCCGTTCATTAGTGTTGATGCACAAGAGAGACACAAAGGAGAAACGAGTGTGACATTATCTCATGAGAATTCCTAAATATGGATTTAGATACAACCTGATCGAGTGATGGAATGAAAGAGAGTACACAACTGGTGTTGAACTGGTACGATGGTGACTAATCTTCGATGACTGTGTTCTATATAATCCGGAAACAACGAAGTTAACAAAAGGTGCTCTGAAAAAACAACAATGGTTTTTTTTGAACATTTTGGAAATTTCAATGATATTTTTTATACTAAAAATTAATGGTATTTTTTGAACATTTTTGAAATTTTGTTACCTTTTTAAGACATTTTTCCGTTACCTGCGGTAACCAGTTACCCACAAGGTTTTATTTGAACACATGTGTACTTCGTTGGTATTTTGTGTATAAAAAATATACCTTAATGATATTTTGTGTACTAAAAAAAACAATGGTATTTTTTATATATTTTTTAAACTTCATTACCTTTTTAAGTCATTTTCCTTAAATTGTAATGTAAAGTTGTAAACCACGTATGTTTCGAATGAGCTTTTAACCCTTAACCTTAAAGGATTGCCCGTTAAGAAAAAGAAAAAGTTGTAAACGAATTCCACAATATATTTGCATTATACAAAAAAAAAAAAGTTATTATCTTTAAAGTGATATAATCTAAGAAAAAAATCATTATAGCATGAGAGTCTTTAAAAATATCTTTGGTTTTTACATTTTGCTAATTTAATCAATTTTTCTTTCAATTTATTAATATATAAGGTCGGCTTTGAAGAAGACAAAGTAGACAGTTGTAAAAAGTTAACTTTTTTTTAATATATTGTATTCAAACCCAATCATAAGTGATAGTCCGGAGTCCGGACTCCTCATAACTGACCAGTACACAACGCACTAGAAGTTTATCGTCATTTAAAAAAAACTTTATTTTATATAAATTAATTCATTACACATTAAGACCTATTCGGTTCGTCCTAAGCATTTGAATCTTCATGACCACCGTATTAATATATTTGATAGATTTAGTTATCCAATAAAGAATCCAGATTATGTAATTTAAGTTTTAAGCATTATAAATTTTGTAATCACCTTTTTGTAATCATATCTTAAACTAATGGGTTGTCTAACTGATTCAACATATGTCATTCAATTAATATGACAAAATCATATATTTGATGGTCGGTAAATAACATGACCACATGTCCTTTTAAGGAATTTTGGACACATAAGTCGTATTAACATTTAAAATGAACACACGAGCTCATTTTAGCAAAGAGAAAATGACATAAAAGCTCTTAAGTTTCACAAAAATGTCGGTTTTACCCTTGAACATGTTTTAGGTCCAGTAAAGCCGGATGTTTTGTTTAATTTGTTTATTTATTACCCTTTTAGACGGTTTTCAAGTAACCTACTAGTTACCAGATGACAGTAAAACCCTTAAGTTTTAAAAAATGTTCAGATTTACCCTTAAGTTTTAACTGTATAAATATGTTTTTAAATATATAAATATGTTTCTAATTGTATTTAATAGGTATATTTATTTGTATTTAATTGTATTTAATAGATATAAATATGTATTTATTTTGTATAAAAACTATCGTATATATAAATATGAAATATATATATATATATATATATATATATATATATATATATATATATATATATATATATATATATATATATAGGTTTAGGTTCTATGGAAAAAAAACCCTAAAAATCATAAAAATGCATAAAAAAATACTTAGAGATCACAAAACTTTTTTTTGAATTTTTTTTATGAAAAAATCGCAGCTTTTACTACAAAATCGCTGAAATTTTTTTTGGAAAAAAACCATTTTTTTTATATTAAAAAAAATGATTTTTTTTCAGCGATTTTATTAAAAAAGTTGTGATTTTTTCATAAAAAAATTCAAAAAAAAAGTTTTGTGATCTCTAAGTATTTTTTATGCATTTTTATGATTTTTATGATTTTTTTTGTTTTCCAAATAACCTTTCCCTATATATATATATATATATATATATATATATATATATATATATATATATATACTTAGTAAAATACGTACAAGTACATATAATTATATCTTTTATACAATATAAACCTTATAAATAACTATTTTATATTTATATGTATAAAATCTATTTTTATACGAAATACATATATATTTATACCTATTAAATACAAATAAATATATTTTTAATATATAAATACGTTTTTAAAGGAGTACATTGGCTTTCAAATGTATATAAATACTAAATAGAAGTAAATATATTTTTAAATACTAAATAGAAGTAAATATATTTTTAAATCTATAAAAATATTTTTATACATTTAAAAACGTATTTAAAAATGTATGTATAAAGTACTTTTATACAATTAAAAACATATTAAACATAATAATAATAATAATAATAATAATAATAATAATAATAATAAGACAAAACTGCAAATTTGGTCCTTGTGGTTTTCAAAAATCTTTGGATGGGGTCCAAAAAGTTTCCAGCTTGCACAGAAGGTCCAAAATTAAGGTTTTTCTGGGTTTTTAGTCCAAAAACACTTGAAAAGACAATTATACCCTTTAAATTTCTTTTTTTATTTTTTACAATTATTCTAATACCATTTTAACTTAAAAATAAAAGAAAATAAATGTATTATCCCCCACCCACCCATACGTTCTCTCTCTCTCTCTCTCTCTCTCTCTCTATCTATATATCTCTCTTTCTCTCTCTATTCGTCTTCTCCAACACACCAATCTACAACTTGGAAATAACATTCCATCGTCAAAACTGCAAAACCCCACCCACATAATTCCTGGTATGTTCACATAATTCATCTCCATATCATTTGTAAAATCACTTAGAACTTGGATAAAACAAATTTCTTTCGATAATTAATTTAGGGTTTTCTAGGGTTTTCATGTTCTGGGTTCATCGATTTCCGGGGCTAACAATTTCAGGGTTCGAACGATTCTTGGGTTCTATTTATTTACAGAAGAATGAACAATAAAGACGATTTCTACAAAAGTCAATCCAAGGAAGAAAGAACAAAAAAATGTTTTTACAATTGTGTGTGTATGTGTTTGTTTCTGGACTCAGGAACAGAACCTTCATCTTCGTGCTTTTCGTTTCAAGAATAAGAATAAACCTGTTTCTAGGATCAATTTTCATCTCTCGAGTTCTGGGGATGAACACGAATCAATTTTCAACAACACACACATTGGACACATTTCTGGGTCTGAAAAAGGACCTAATGATGAGTCGAGTTTTGAATCTTCAATTTTTGAATTATTGGTTCTGAAAAAAAAGAAAAAAGGAGAGAAATAAGAATATGATATGATTGTTCTTGAGTTCTAGTTTGTTCTTGATCTAGGAGATAAAATCAGACGAGAGAGAGAGAGAGAGAGAGAGAGAGAGAGAGAGAAGTATCAGTGGAGGGAGGGAGGGAGAAAGAGACGTAAGAGAGATAGAGTTTTACCCATTTTCTTATTATTATTATTGTTGAAATTGTAATAAAATATAAAAAAAATGTAAAAGTAAATAAATAAGGGTATAACCGTCTTTTCAAGTTTTTTTGGACTAAAAACCCAGAAAAACTTTGATTTTGGACCTTCTGTGCAAGCTGGAAACTTTTTGGACCCCATCCAAAGATTTTTGCAAACCACAAGGACCAAATTTGCAGTTTTGTCTAATAATAATAATAATAATAATAATAATAATAATAACAACAACAACAACAACAATCAAAGTAAGGGTAAATCCAAACATTTTTGAAAACTTAAGGGTAAATCTGAACATTTTTGAAAACTCAAGGGCTTTACTTGCATCAGGTAACCGGTAAGTTACGTGTAAACCGGCTAAAATGATATAAATGAACAAATTAAACAAAACATCCGACTTTAATGGACCTAAAACACGTCCAAAGGTAAAACCGATATTTTAGTGAAAACTTAAGGACTTTTATGTCATTTTCCCTTTTAGCTAATGGTGTTAACTTTTTCAGTTAAGTCTTATATAAAATGCATATTTTCAATTCCTACCATTGTAACATCCATAAAATTTTGAAATTTTTTAAAAATTTTAAACAAATCCAAAAACCATCATTTATTACATATTGTTTTCAAAATAAGTTTCACATTAGAGTTTTCCCAGAAATCGTAACACAAAATAAGTTTCAGCATGACTGGACTGCCTCGCAGGGCCTACAGCCTATCCGGGACCGCTGGTCGGGCCTTCGTCCTGACTGGACCGCCTCGCAGGGCCTTCAGTCTACCGGGGCCGCCCTGGGTCTGTTGGCCTTCAGCACAAAGCAGGACCGCCTCAACCCGACCACACACACACACACACACATGTCGACATATACATAACTCATAAACACATAATCATTCAACATACAAGCACAGATCATACCGGTCAATAAGCATATCATTATCCTATCTTGTAACGCCCCGTTTATTTAAATAAATTAATAAATGTAAGTCCTGGACTAATTTTGTGAAGAATTTTGATAGTTGGGGTTTGTTTAGTAAGTTACGAAGTTGCTTTGAGAAGAATTTTAGAAGCAATGGTACATCTGGTGATTATTGGGTTAAAATTGAGAAGATTTTATGGGCCAGGGGCTAAAGTGTAAGTTTTGGGTTTGATTTGAAAGGAATTTAAGAGGGCAGGGTCAAATTGGTAAATTATGGACTAGGTTTGAAAATAAATCTGGAAGTGAGGGGCTGTTAGTGTCATTATGGGATTAACTTTTGGGGGACCCGGGTATATAACCCTTACGGGAACCCTAACCCTACTTGTGTATCGACCGCCACTCATGTCTTCAGCCGCCAACATCCCGTTCTCCCCTCTCGCGCTCCGATCAGGTGAAGTTCCGACGATCGCCACCATCCTTTCCATTCGTTTTCCGACCGCCTAGCGCCACCGGG